TGAATGAATTAATTAATACAATTAATTGCAAATATAATTAACGGACTCCCTTCATTCATAAATCAATCAAATAAGAATGAAGTCCATTAATTATTTGCCATTTAATTTGTGTTCCATTAATTAAACTAATTTAACGATTAAATTAAATAATTAATCCAACACTATTCTTTGAATTCAAATTAAATTAATGGATCAATTATCTAATTGGGTTTAATTGATAAAAAATTTCAAAAATTAAAAATCAATTAATTTTAATATTAATATCACCCAATTTGATAACACCAAAAATTCAACAATTCAACAAATCGAAGCATGCTTTCGAAAACGATAAACACGTTGACAAATAAACGATTAACCCGTGGCTCTGATACCACTGTTGGGGATCGTGCATGTATACGCAGGTGAATTTATAAATTTTAGATCGAACTAGTTTCGATTACATGCATAAACTAATCACATAGTCAACGTACCTTAACGCTTCCGCCATACACATGGTAATTATCGATTTTATTAAAACACGTAAAACCGAAAAGAATTATAAAACATGCTTGTTCATCATATTACAAAATCGAAACACGTAATCACATATTATACATGCTCGTAAATTAAAAATCATACAAACATGTTCGAATCGAATTACGAAAGTTCCGATTTAATTACCTCTTGTAGCGTGAGATTTCGACGAATCGAAATCCAAACTCAAACACGTACAAGCTGCTTTATACCACTCCTAGGGGCTGCAGGAACACCACCAAACGGCAGCTGGTCCGAAGGTGAAGCGACGGCGGCGCGTGGCAGTCAGCGGCGGCGGCGCGTGGGCGGTGCAGCGGCGCGTGCGGCGGTGCAGCGGCGGCGTGGCAATTCCGTCGGGGCAGCAGCTCCTCTCCAATTAGGTTTCACCTCGAATAAACGGATCTCCCCCTACTGTAGCACTAGATACAAAGGGGTTAGATAACAAGGGAAATACGATAGAGAAAGGAGAGGAAAAACCGGCGGATTCCGGCGGCGGACGGCGCCGGTGCGGCGGGGCAGCGGCGGCCGAGAGGCTGGACGGCTAGGGTTTGAGGAGTAAAAAATCTGATCTCAAACTCTTGTTTGAGGTCTATTTATACTTAGGGTTCTCAACCCTTGTGGGCTTAAGTCATTGGGCTTGACCCACTGATGCATTAAGTCCATTCCCTCGTCGGCCTCGTTTCTAACAAACGATCGTTCACAAAATTATAACAAAATTATATTTGTGACGAGCTCAAAGTTCTCGTCGATACGAGTGCCTCTTCGAAATTTCCAATTTCCAAAATTGGAAACTTCCACTTCAGTGGACCTACTAAATCGGGAAACTTCCCAATTTAGAAAGTTCACTAAATTCCGCATGTCTCTCTTTCTCTACGTTTATTCCGACTCGTAATCCACAATCACGAATCTTGGACTCAATCATATTGACCTCCAACTTTGCAAAGATTAACATATTAACCTATGCTCATTGTTATCAAGGATCCGTATTACACGAGAAGTGTGACCCTCAATGGTTCAGGTGTATGCTAGCTGTGGGCTCACAACTCTTTGTGATTCGAACAACACATTGTTCTTATACGAACTCCTCCCAAGAGTCCCGATTAGAGTAAAACTCATTTTACCTAATCCCCGATCAAATCGGTGCCCAACGAATCAAGATTGGCGTCTAGCAACTACGCATCATGATTCCCTAGATACAAGTGAAGTGCCTGGAAGAACCTTATGATATAGTTAGCGTACAGTACGATCCGTTCGCAGCACATGTCCCGATTGAACTAGAGGCATTGGTTCACCGAGACCTCTTATACAGTTCAATAACCGTGCGAACGTTCTAGGTATTATAAATCCGTTCGTGTGCGACTTAGGGAAACACATTTCCCTAATCACCCCACTATCAACTCTGGCCAGAGATTCCTTGGATTATAAACCGTCAGAAGACACAGGACATCCATGACTACTCAAGCGCTCGAATCCCCTACTACAATGCACAGACTTCACACTAGATTTCGGATTGCACGAACGTTGGCCCTTGGAGTGGTCCGTTGTGGGACTCAGGGACAGGTCACGATAAAATCGGTCCTCTAGTGAAGTCACGGTGATGTCTGGGTCTTAAGGACTAATGGTGTACAACTATATCTTAGAAACCTATTACTCGATGAATGAGAACCACTTATAGATTTCTAGGGCGAGGGAGTTCAGTGAACTCATCTAGTATGAGCACCCACTCAAGTATGCCGATGTCACAACACCGAGGACTGATGAGACGCAGTACACATACACTAAGTGCTAGTCTCAAAAGGGAAAGGCCGGTATCCTCATTATTGGCGTAACCCATCGACTAGGAACAAGGTTTAACAGTTACATTACATTGCTGAGTTATCTCACGATTCTACTAGACCAACTCACAGTAATAGAGTAACTCGTTAGGACTATATCTATGCTGCTTGCATGGGATAAGAGATATAGAATGCCAAATGAAATATTTTATTATTACGAACGAAAAACGATTGTTTTATTACAAGAAAAAGAGAAAGACCACAGCCACAAGTTGGCTTGCTGGTCACCTACTCTAACATTTTGGTAATTACCAATAAGTGGGGGTGTTTTCCACCATTTGGCCTAAGTTCGGGAGGATTTTCGTAATTTATCCTATGAAAAACGATTGTTCTTTTTACAACTTAACGTTTGCTTATACCCTGATAATATTTTAAATAATTTAAATGTCAGTTTGATAATATAATTAAATATTAATTTCTAATATATTTCATATGTGTTTTTTGATACTTTAGCTATCACACATAAGGAATTTGATATAAAGGTTGCGAGAATGAATAAAATTGTTTTTGATACAAAATAATAGATCATTGCAAAAAACATTGATGCAAAATCAGAATTAGGATTGTGATTAGTATCATCTTTAGAATTAAGATTATAATTAATATTCTTTGAATTAGTATTAGTATTAATACTAGGATTACGATTCGGATTAATGTAGTATTATAATGAATATTAGAATTTTGATTAGGATTAATATTAGTATTAGAATTATAATTAAAATTATGATTATGATTAATACTACAATTAGTGACATGTATTACTATCAGGATTATGATTAACATTAGAATTATGATTATGATTAGAATTAAGATTAGAAATATAATTAGATTAATATTAGCATTAGCATTAGCATTATTAGTGTTAAAATTATTAGGGTTAGGGTTAAAATTATGATTAGTAATATGATTATGATTAGAATTAGAATCATGATTATTGTTATGAATAGAATTAGGAATAGGATAAGCATTTGGATAATATTAGGATTATTATTACAATTAGCATTAGCATATTTAGATTAGCATTAACATTAAAGTTAGTATTAGGATCAGTACGTGTACATTAGCATTAACATTGACAATATTAACATATTAGTATCAGTATTAGTACATGTACATTAGCATTAACATTAACAATATTAACATATTAGTATTAGTATTAATATTAACAATATTATTAGTAGTATTAATATTAGTATTAATATTAATATTAATATTAATATTAATATTAATATTAATATTAGTATTAATATTAATTCAGTGATTGTTAATAAGACACCGCCAGCGGGAGGGATGAAACGGCTATCATGGGATGAGATGCAACAAAGATGGGAAAATAATTTGTGTTACAATTGCGACAAGAATTTTGTTCCTAGACATCGATGTAAACACGCACAAGCTCTCTTGATTGAAGTTGTCACGGGGAAATAGGCATCAAAACTAATATGAATGAAGTCACATATGACGAAGATTATTTAGCTTGGGCTGAGTTTTGGTACAACACCACATTTCATCAATCGATTGGAATGACACCGTTGGAAGCTGTATACGGGTACCACCTCCTTCTTTGGTCCAATATACTCTGGGGACATCTATTGTTTAAGAATTAGATCAGACTTTAAGGACGCGGAATGAGATTATAAGGGAGCTTAAAGCAAATTTATCCATGGCTCAATATAGGGAAGGTTGCTTATCGTTTGGATTTGCCAGAATCAGCCCGCATCCATCCGGTGTTTCACGTGTCTTTACTACGAAAGAAGATTGGAGAAAACGACACAACCATATCTACTATACCGCCATATGATGCTGATGGAGGACCGGTCATGGAATCCATACATATTTTAGGGAGAAGAACAGTGGCGGCAAATGATGGTAGAGTACAAGAGGTTTTAGTGCAATGGAAAGCACTTTCACCTGAGGAGGGCACATGGGAATCTTATGGGGAGATGCTAAAAAGGTTTCCGGACTTGAACCTTGAGAACAAGGTTCGTTTTGAAGACAATGAGAATGTTACGATTCAGCGTAATAGACGTCAACCAAAACCAAACCCGAAGTACTTCGAATAAGAGTCTTGTTTGGATAGCTTTTATTGGTTATGTTTTCTTTATTTAGTTGGTTATATTTTCCTTGTTTTTAGTTGGTTTTATTTACGTAACTTTGGTAGTTTTGGTGAGTTCGTTTCTAGTTTCTTTTCCATTGTAATATTAGGAGATTGACATGACTAATAGTTTTATCAGAAAAATAATAGTATTAAACTACTCTTACGTTTGTAAGAACTCTTTTGGTTACCTTGTGATTTCATCAGGGTTCTCTCTTACATAAATTAGGGTCTTTCCTACATTGAATTTTATAAGGGGATCTTGCTAATTTTCTCAATATTTAATTGCATATCATATGTTACGACTCTTGATCAAGCTAAGGTTTATCTTTCTTTATTCCATTCGATTTTGTTTTATTGTCATATTAGTGTTTTTACTCATTTTGAAACTCATTTCCGTGAATCGCACGGGTGAATGTTGAAAACAGGCACATCCTCCGATAAATAAACCTTTTCCTTTATTTTGTTAATACACATGGCAAACAATATTTACACATAACCAAAATCAACAATCCAAAATATACATTTGACTTTTTTTTTTTCTTTTCTTTTCTTGATGAGTAAATATAGTAATATACATTTGACTTCACAATCTGCAAAATCAAACCCAAAAAATCATGTACACCTAATTACTTGCGAGAACAAGATTTATGTACTAAATAAAACACCACTCACTAATCATAATATGCATTTTCCGTTTAGGTTAAGAGCTACGAAAAATATAATTTGGGTTTGGTAGAGCTGAAACAAATAATTAACAGCTTAACTGCCGACAAGACTTTCACCACACACCAAACCAGAAAAGAAAGTAGAGATCCAATCAACCCGGAAAATCCCCAATTGCCATTTCGATCCAGAAATTGAATTGCACGCTTCACTTTCGGTAATCTCCTTTTTGCTATTAATTTTTCTGTAATGCCTTTTTTGATTCTTGATCTCACTTCGCTTGATCCAAATTTGCATTTGTCGGCATGGGCATTAACTTGTTTTTCAGTTGCCACTTCAAATTTCGGGTTTCGGGTTTCGGGTTTTGGGTTTTGGATTTTTGGGTTTCGGGTTTTTAATCTATCATGTTCTTATTCTGATTCTGCAGTACTAGTGATTAGAGTTTAGATTTTCTGAAATTACTTATTGTTTTTTTTTTTGGGGGAAAAATGTCTGAAGGAATTTTTATTTGTTTGTCTTATATGTAGTTACTATTGAATTGGCAGCACGGGGAATTCCGGTAAAACATTGTATTCATCCGGTTTTCAGATTAAGCTTTCTTTAGTTTTCCTGTTCGATTTCGAAAGAAACAGCTAATATTGAAATGCGGGTTAGAGTTTAGGGTTTAAATGGGCAATGATAGATAACGATTTAGAAAGTGTTGAGGAAGGTGGAGCGAGTAAGGTCAAGCGAATCGGAATCAGGAGGGAACCTTCGTTCTCGGGCTGGTACGACGAGGATGGAATCCCGTATCCATCTCAGTTGATAAATGACGAAGTGAATGTAGAAGAATTCGATTTTAATTTGCCCTTGGCTCAGACACGTAGCTCCGAAAACGACAGTTTAGACAGAGAGAGATTTAGTCCTAGGATGGAGCGTGTTGTCGGAAGAGAGAGTGACGGTGCTTCCGCGAATGGTTTGAGAGATCAAACCGAAAAGAGTTACGCTCCTTTCGACATTGAAAACGCCGACGAAGATGAGAGATATACTAACCATATAGTCGATAACCAAAATGCACGTAATCCGATATCGATGGCTGATGTGCTCAAGACACTGTTCTTTATACTCGTTTGGTACACGTTCAGTACATTCCTTACACTGTAAGTTATGGATGGCATTTTGGTGAATTTGTTGCTTCTGAAGAATATATTTCGTTCGTAATTTTTTTTTTCTTTTTTGTTTTTTCTGTCGGAGCAGGTATAATAAAACTTTATTAGGGGATGACATGGGTAAATTCCCGGCCCCACTATTGATGAACACAGTTCACTTTTCGATGCAAGCTATACTTTCAAAAGGCATCACATGGTTTTGGTCGGACCGATTCCATTCCTCCAATATGTCGTGGAAGGATTATTTCGTACGAGGTAGGTAAAAATTTACATATCCCGTTTATCGTAATTCTACTTACTCGCCCGATATATAGTTAGAAACTTGTATAGCCGTATATAGTTTACTTCATTCGATTAAAGTACCGGTTTGACCTTTCCTCTAGGAGGTGCATTATGTTTCTGAATAGGCGTACGTAGGTTCGATTTTTCTAATGCTAGTATCATTAACTTTTTCTGACAACTAATGGTACAGATGGCCTTTGCCTTTCACAGTTGTACCTACGGCTCTCAGCACTGCGATGGATGTTAATCTGAGCAATGCATCTCTCGTTTTCATCTCCGTCACGTTTGCCACTATGGTTCGTCACCTTTCTCCTATTAATTTTGATAATGATTTATGCTTGTCAAATTCCTTCAAAACTTCAAGGAAAGGTCTAGTTATGTTATATATATATATATATATATATATATATATATATATATGTGTGTGTGTGTGTGTGTGTGTGTGTGTGTGAAGTGCATTGGTAATAAGAAGAGAATGACTTGCTAAGCAATATAATATATTAAGGCCTCGTTTGGTTGCCAAGATAAGATTAAATAATTTAATGAGACCCAATTATATTATTGGACCTTGGAAGATCCAATAAAAAACATACCTAAAAGGCGAATTATTGGGGATACCAAACATAATATTTGCGGGTCAACCTGGCAATCTATTTGGGATACGAAACATCAAACAAAGTCCAATTATTTAGTTAAAAATGGCTAATTTCCCCAACCAAACGAGGCCTAAGAGGAAAATGAATTGGGAATGAGATTTAATTTGATATCATCGACAGTAACTCTGGGACTTGGTTTATTTTGTCTGATCTTTTCTCTGGCTGGGCTGGGTTCAAATTTCTTGTGACCAAGAAAGTGAAGTGAAGATTAGTCAAACAATATATTTTCTTGAAGAATATACAATAGGATTATCGATATTGAAATCAGTTAACTCTTGGTAGAATGTTGTCCTTAAGAACTAATAATAATCAAGACCAGAAGAGTATCGTTTTGGATCTGATTGCCCTTAAGAATCAAAACACCGTAAAACCCGTTATGTACACATGTTTCGTACATTTCTTATTATACAAATGGAAGGTAACACTAAACAAATGACTTACATACGCAAGGCAGAGAGTCGCTATTGCAAATGTTTTCTTAAAATGGTGGGCTACAACAGCTTTGCTCGATTCTCAATTTTCGTGCATCGGCATATTTTACTTATATTGTAGTGTAAATCAGATAATGAAGTCCATTATTTCTTTATTTGCAGTGTAAATCAGCATCACCAATATTTCTCCTTATTTTTGCCTTTGCTTTCAGGTATTTCTCCTCTGACTAAAATAGTATTTCCCGTCTTGTGCACTATTTACAAATTCTATCACTTTGAAGATTGTCGTTTAAGAATCTTTTTCGTAAATTGTTTAGGAGATAAAAACAAGTATTATGAATGTTTAAACAGTCCTTTTTCTAAATGTTTACTGTTTAGACAGTCATTAATTAGTTAAGAGCGTGTAATGATTTTTATATATGATTAAGAATTTGCCGTATATCTTACCGACAGCTATTCTGGATGGTGTTGTTTATAACTTCGGTACACTCATTTGTTAACATGTAAATTTTGGTAAAATAGATAATGGATTTCTCTATTTGTTAACTTCTTCTGTTTCTATTTTTATTTTAAATCCAAATCATATAATGAATTGTTTTCTGTTTTCTTTTCTTCTCTTTTTCGTTTCGGCTTTTAATTGCACAAGTATTTAATCCTTTGAGCTGACTCTAGTTTTTTTTGTCGTTTCTGAAGATTGGAGTCACCAAGTGTTAAGCTACTTGGCATTATGTTAGTAATCTCTGTTGGGATACTATTAACAGGTATTAAAATTCATCTCGTAGAATATTATTATGTTAACAGTTTATTGACCGTATTCGTGATGAGAACATTGAGAAGTTTAAGAAGACAGCATTTTCACTGGTTTGTAAGATCATTAATGTTTTTTCCAACATAAATTCTGTAAGCTATTATAAGCTGCATACATGTTTAATGATTGTCTACTTCAAATAAATGGTTTTTTTAATTTTTATAAAGCTAACCGGTTTTAGACAAAAAAAATCGATTTTCTTGCTGCTTTATTTATTATTTATTATTTTTTTTAATAAATTGTAAATTTTTAGCTCATAAATAAACACTAGAAATAGAAACATATAAACAACAGAAAGACCCTGGATTAACAGTTAATATGGTACGTTGTGAGAAGTAATGCTTTATTACTTCTAAATGGTATAGTCGTTCTTAAAACCAGGAAAAAAAATGCAGCCCACATAAGTTTCTGTTTTATTTTATTTAATTTTTTTTGTCCGTAACCCTTTTGGTGGGTAATAATGCAGTTGCAAAAGAGACAGAGTTTGAGCTTTGGGGTTTTATATTTGTTATGCTTGCTGCTGTCATGTCCGGATTCCGATGGACGATGACACAAATTCTACTCCAGGTATTATCAATATTACACGTGACTTGTATTAATACAAAATTGTTTTATTTAAAAAAAAATATGTTCGTATAAGCTCTCACACCGTTTATTTGTTCTTGGATATTTTCTTTCGTTGATTGTTATATGGTGATATCAAAACGGGCATGAAGAAAGAAGCCTATGGTAAGTGTTATTAATAACTACATCCTTTTTTCGTATAAATTCTAGCAACTCTTATTGCTATTGATATCCATGATGTCACATTTTAGGTTAGTTTGGGCATATTTGCATCACAAGTTTCTTTTTAATGTTGAAGTGTCATATTTGCGGTAAAACGCATTCATAATTTCAATTACGCATTCAGTTTTTTTACTGAAAGGAAAGGTCACGCGAGTGAATATCAATTTGCGCTCTTTACGTTACCTATCTTTACTTTAGGTCACGTGACTTTATCGCATATTATCCCTCTGAAATTTTTGTACCACGTAAGGGAATGAAATTGCTAAAGACCACTAATTGCTATGTTAAAGTATGTCTACTGGAATTAAATAGTTTCTTCCATTCGCCAAATGAGATATGCGTGCTATTAATTTCGGCACCAACACGCAGAATCTTTAACATCATGCTAAAGAATTATGCAGTACATTTTGTTAGATTATACGAAATTCCATAAAATTCATTCGCCTGAGAAAATTTTACAGTTCATTTTTCTAATAACACCATCAAATTGCCCTAAAAAAAGTGTCGGTAATACATTTAACCGTGAAACGAATTCCGCATAGTTTACTCTTCATAGTCCATAGGTCTTCTCACGAACGACATTTTTGTTTTATTGAATTAAATAGAATCATCGACTAGTCAGTAAAATATGTTTAACAAGGATGCCTCTCTGTCAGCAAGCTTTACTGCAATAACTTCTTTAAGTTTTTTACAATTAATGTACAACTTCGATTCTTTACAAGAAATGTCCTACAACCGACCCCAAAGTGAATTAAACCCTCCCCTACCTAACAATTAAGGGGTTATTTCTATGCTACACCCGGTGAAGGTTACACCGGGTGATTTTTTACCGTTGATCTACACACACCAATGTGGATGTGTGTGTGTTTGTGTGTATATGAATGGTAAAGATCTACCCGGTGTATTTCACCCGGTGTAGCATAGTATAAGCCCAATTAAGGAAGATTTTTATTACATTATTGACAGTTCATCTTTAAACCTAACTGTTGTTAAAATTGATGTTTGATGTTGTACTACCTGTTTATGTGTCTAACAAATGACGTTTTTGTCCTTTTTCCTAGGTCTAAAGAATCCACTTGTTTTGATGAGCTACGTGACACCAATTATGGCAATTGCAACTGGTCTATTTTCTCTGATTTTGGATCCATGGGATGAGTTTAGAAATAGCGATTACTTTAACAGCTCATGGCATATCGCCCGAAGTTGTTTGCTCATGTTATTTGGTGGAACTCTCGCTTTCTTCATGGTAAACTATCTTTATTCAACGTTTCGAAATCCGTGATATTTTGTTTGACACATTCTCACTGTTTTTGGTTTATCTGCTACTTTATTTACTTTATTTACCAACTCTAAAAGGTCTGTTATCTTATTAGTGGTTCGGTGGGTACATGAATCCTTATATCAGAATCTATCGTACCTTTAAGGCTTTGTTTGGTTCATGGATTTTTGAAATGAGAAAAAATGAAAATGCAAAAGCAAATGAAAATTAAGGAATTTGAGAATCTGTAATTCTGTATTATGTTTGGTTGCTTAGGCAAATGGCGATGAAAATGATTTTTTAGAAATCAATTTCCTTACTTTTGTATGGTAGTTGGAAAAAAGTGAAACTGAATATTACAAGAAAAGAAAGTAGAAGAAGAGAGAAAAGAGAAAAGAGGAGAGAGAGGAAGAGAAAAGAAGAGAAGAGAGGAGAGAGAAGAGACGGAGAGGGGAGAGAGGAGGGAGAGAGAAAGAAAAGGAGAAGAGAGAGTAGAGAGAGAGAGAGAGAGAGAAGGAATGATATATAAGAGAGAGAAGAGGGAGAGAGTAAGAGAGATGTCAGCAGGAAAGAAAAACAAGAAAGAGAGTTGTAGAAAGGAGAGAGAGAGAAGAGAGAGAGAGAGAGGAGAGAGGGAGAGAGAGAAGGAAGGAGAAGAGAGAGAGGAGAGATGACTGGTAAGAGAGAGAAGAGGGAGAGATAAGTCAGCTAAAAGAGATACGAGAGAGCTGTAGAAATTTTACCTGGAGTTTTCCTCACTTTTTTTGAGGGAAAGGCATTTTCCTAGTTTTTGTGCCAGTTTTTTCCTACTTTTTACTTCATATTACTTTATTTAGTATTTTACCTTGTAGCCAAACATGAAAAGTGATTTACCTAATATTTTCACCTTTTTACTTGTCATTTTCCATGAACCAAACAGAGCCTAAAAGTATGATTTCGTTGTCCGTTTCCCAACTTTTTTATGATACCTATTATAACTGCTTTTTCTTTTTCTTTTTTTCCTTTTTCTTTTTTTATTTTTTATTTTAGAGAAATTCAAATCTTGTTACAAATTGGGAAAGTAGGGGAGAGGGGCATGATTCGTATTATACCAGTAGACCAAGTTAATATGTAGATTAATTATTATGGTTTAATTAGGTAAAATGTGATTGACGTCGCAATGAATGCATTCATATACTATACTCTTCATCTTCCTATCGTCATTTCAACAACATTCCTCTTTGTTTTTATTTTCATGAAAGTTGTGTGATTCGACTTCTTTTCTTTCCTTGACAAAAAATGTTAATTTTAGAGGTTAGGATTTTTTTTCAACTATCTAATTTTTTTAATAAATACTTATTAACTTTTAATTCTCGTTTTAATCAATTAACTTATTAAACTCTATATAAATAATTTACTAAAATTACATGAATCACGTGCAAATGCACGTGTCACTTGCTAATTTAAAGGAAAAAAAATAGATCATAAAAAACCCTTCTCGAGTTTCTACTGATTAAGTTTCGAGTTTTTTGCTCTTTAAGAAAAAGCTTGACTTGTTGGTCTTGTTGCAGGTTTTGACGGAATATATTCTCGTGTCTGTAACTAGTGCAGTAACGGTAACTATCGCTGGGGTTGTGAAAGAAGCTGTTACTATTTTGGTACGAAATTCTACGATTCTATTAAGTTTTTGAATTGGCATCTTACTGAAAAATGCAAGAATCGGCACTTTTCCTTTGTCGTGTATTAGACATTTTCTGCCGTATTAATCAATTTGTTTTTTGTGTTTCCTTTCTTAAACTGAATTTGAGATTTTAATAATTTTTCAGGTAGCCGTGTTGTATTTCCACGATGAATTCACATGGCTGAAAGGGTTTGGCCTCCTAACGATAATTTTCGGTGTCAGCTTATTCAACTGGTACAAGTAAGTAATCAAGCTGCGTAACATTCGAAGAAACTTTACCTTATCATTGTTCCTATTTCCGATTCTCGGTCGATTAAAAATTATCATATCCCTTGACATAAACGATTTGTTTTAATAACTTATTCCAATATCAAAATTTTTGGCTAAAATTTTGACTTTAAAAATAGGGCAAATTACGGCCACCCCCGAGGTATGGCCAAATTACGAAAAAACCCCTCTTGTTTGGGTCATTACAGCCACCCCCTCCTTTTAAATTATTTACCGAACCAAATCGTATATTTAGTTCGGTAAACGGTATGAAATGTTGGCGTACCGAAATTTCGGTTTGGTTTTACCGAATTAACATCCCTAAATTTACCTCTGGAGGGGTCTTTTGGTATGATAATACATAGTTGAGGGAGGTGGCTGTAATTACCCAAACAGGAGGGGGGTTTTCGTAATTTTACCATAACTCAGGGGGTTGGCCGTAATTTGCCCTTAAAAATAACCAGAAACTTTTACCATCGTTAACGGACTTGTCTTATGCCTCTCCGCTTTAGTTTTTTTTTCATAAAAAAATTAAATATGTTGTGATATCTGATTTTTCATATTCTTGATGGTTTGATATATATTGAACAACACTCGGGAAGTAAAAATATTATTGGCCTTTTACCTAGCTGCTTAAATATCGCCTCAATTTTGTGAATCAGGTACGAGAAGTTGCAGAAAGGCGAAACGACCGTCGGATCACCAACACATGACGCAGCTTCAAAATATGTTATCCTTGATGAGATGGATGAGGAAGACGATGGCCCTTAAAACCTCAATTTGTGCATTTGAATCGATAAACTTTGAGTAAGCTTTTATCATACTTTGATCGTCAAATTTTTACTATATTACATTAGGCAAATCTTTCGTTGTGCAAAGTAGTGGAATCCATGCTCGATTCTTTTCTCAATCATCCTTTGAGTTCCGTTATTCATGCCTTTCATTTTGTTTAATAAAATTTGAATTTACAAATGAGATGGTACTCTTTGATTTTTATTTATTTTTGGATCGATTGTATAAGCTGTTTGATTTTGATATAGCAACGGTAGCTTCAAATTAGGTAACGATGCCTTTGTATTATTGATCGTAGCAGGAATGACAATGGTAGCATCGTATCTTCAACTTGTCAAACGGACCATGTATCGTTGATTCGATTATACGGAGGAAATTAAATGTAACCACATACGGGAAATGAATTTGTGAATGATTTATAAACATTTGTACCGTTTGTTGAGACGGGCTGACGTCGATTTTCTTGTATCAATGTTGTGCAAAGTGATGTAGAGTTTATAATTTTCGGGACTTGAGATTCAATTGCCACAATTATTTGGACTGTATATTATAGTATTCTACTTGATTTTCATCTTCCTTTTCTACTCCAATTGTTCAATTACTACTTGAGGTATAATTACATTTTTGTCCCTAAGGTTGGCACCGTTTTCACTTTCAGTCCTCCATTTACCACGGCCAATAAAATACACTTTGATGTTGCCAATTTTTATAGCATATGTAGCAAAGGGGCTCTTCATCAATTTCTCATTCAATAAATAACATATTATCCAACGAGTAATTCATGCTATTATAAATTTGACTTCATTTTTAATACAAAAACTCAAGATATATATTTTTTTTTTATACATCATATATATGAGTTACAAACACAAACAAGTCAAGACAATAAATGCAACTAAAAATAAACCAACCGGTCAACCGCCCTATGTGGACGATAATTTACGAAGAATCAAGTGCGCGCCGTGTTGAGGTTGAAGATTCAGCGCTATACGAGGAGCATGCGAATAAGACGGCGAGAGCTCAAAAGAATAGTTCCGCAAAATCATAGCCAGTGCCGTTTTGGCTTCCAACATAGCAAAATTCTGCGCGATGCATATCCGTGGTCCCCACCCAAACGGGAAGTACGAGAGTTTGCCACCTGTCGCCTCCGTAACTCCTCCACTAAATCTCTCCGGATTGAAATCCTTTACATCTTCCCCCCAAAGTTTGACGTCATGGTGTAAAAGTATAGCCGGAAGTAATAGATATGCTCCCTTTGGTAGGACTATGTTTCCTAGTGCAGTTTCCTTGTTAACCGTCCGACTAAACAACAATCCCGGCGAATATAATCTTAATACCTCATTAATAATCATGCTTACCTGCAATGTAGTAATGGGTTTGAAAAGTTATTGAACTAATCACATATCAAGAAAATTTATCTAGCCAACCAATAGTGGTCTTACAATTTTGAGACGACCTAAGTCTTGAAAATTGGGAGTCTCGCTTCGGAAAACGTGAAGTACTTCCTCTCTCGCACGAGCTTGCCAATCTAAATACTTGCTTAGTAAAATCATAGTCCAGACGAGCAACGACGAGGTTGTCTCCTGGCCAGCAAGATAGAACAACTTGCACTCTTCAATAACATCTTGCAAACTCATTCCAAACTTATGCCCGTTTTGTTTTATTTCTTTGGAGTTCGATTCTAATAATATATCCAATAAATCGTTTGAAGTAGCTTCCCCTGCTTCAATTGCCTTTGTTCTTTGATCGATTATCGCACGCAATAGTGACTCTAATTCCGTTATTATACGTTTCATCCTTCTGTTTGTTTTTGTAGGCAAATATCTACACACGCACACAACATATACAAAAAAAAATATATATATAAAAGTAATCGAAAACCTTGTATATGTATATGTATATGTATATGTATATGTATATGAGACAAGATAAGGTAGCCTGTTGGTGATCACCTTGCACCTAGAATCTATTTGGTCACGGGTTCGAGTCACCCGAAGGGGAATTGAAGAACCAGTAACTATCCTCCTTTTAGGACAAACATAAAATGAAAATGTATATGCATACGAATTAATAAGTGATTTTTATGTAATTTATTACCTCCATGCAAGGATAAAAGTGGAGAAGAGATTTGACTTTGTGATAAGTGTGGCTTGTTCTTTTTGAAGTTCGAATATCTTTCTCCCTTGTTCATAGCTAGTGCCGAACGCAGTGAGCGAAATTGCATCGCTTGTCATCGTCTGAAGATACGGCCACACGTCCAACTCGAAACATCCTTCACTCGGCACAATCTTTTCCCATTTGCTCAACATTTCGGCACAGCATTTGTGGAACGATGGAATCATATGCTGTATCATGTCGTGTTAAAAGCATATACACATATAATTAACTCTAAATTACCAATGTTCGACTTTCTTTTTATATTAAATCGATGGATGCAAAAAAAATTTACCTTTACTTTGTCTAGGTGAAAAGCAGGATTGATAAGTCTTCTATGCTTAGCCCATTTATCAGTCTCGTAACTCGCCAATCCTCGTGCCAAAACATTTGCTAATGGATTATATGGCTTTTGGAAAACGTAAGTTTTCGACAAAACCTCTCTCACAATATCGGGATCAAAGATAAGTACTGCAGGATAAGGCCCAAGCCATATGAAACAATTCTCACCTGCAAAAGTTCAACAAAAACTATTAATATTAGAAAATTAATATAAGCATAATCAGCACATCTATTGTTGGAGACATTAATATTAAATGATACATTTCAGTAACAACTTAAGCTTTTAGTTGAAGGTGTCCATGCCATGTACTGAAACACACTAAATGGTATTTTCTTGCTTCAAAATTATAATTTGTCAATGAATTTTACTTTAATTTACCATTAATCCTTCTTACAAGTACCCTTTCTTACACAAAATCGAACCAAAAATCTTAAGAATTTTGCCTGATCTGGTATTTGGTGTTACTAGAAGTACTATGTGGACACCAAAAATAAAAATTAAAAAAAAAAAAAAAATAAATAAATAAATAAAAATAAAATAGTAAATGATGCTGTACATTAAGGAAAAAAAAAAAACACATTGCACATACATACCATGATTAGTGACAGTTTTATGAATAAAGGGAATGATTCTTGGTACAAAATCATCGGAGAAATCGATGGGTTTGGACAAAGCTTCATTGCCCATGTTCTTCATTTCATTCAAATCCCCAACCAAGAATCTGTACGGTTTTCCAACGAAACCCTGTTGTCTGAGGATTTTCTCCATTTTCTTCGGCCTAAACCACACAAAATTCATGATTTTCCAGGCGTATATTACCACTACAACAGTGCAACAAAGTGACAAAAAGCTGTGTATTAACTCCATTTGTTGTTTTTATTTTAGTGTGAGAAACAAACTAGATTTGTATTAGCGCGATCATGATCATCAATATATAACTGGCAGCTACAAAGGGATTGACTACTACTACTATTTTGTATTTTGACTTGGTAAAAAACTTTGGACTTTTTAATTTAAAGTAAATCTCTTTTCCAGTCCTTGAGTAGGAACATATTTCATTTTAGACCCCAATTGCCTTAAATAGTTAACCAAAAACATTTTCCCACCTTTTTAAACCACCATTTATATTTTCTCATTTATTATCTTTATTATTCTAAGCTCAGTGGATATATTTCTTCCGCCAATAAGCTCATTTCTTTAATATGTATTATAAATAAGGGGGTTATTTTACATAACCTCATAGCCACTAAATAAACTAGGGATAAATCCAAGCCTAAATCATCATTTGACATACCCCTTGGAGAAGCGAAAGTACTATACTACCCTTATATGCAATTTTCGGCCAAACTGCATTCAACATTTCTGGTCCTGCATTTTATCATTTTCGCTGATTTATTTATATATATATATATATATATATATATATATATATATATATATATATATATATATATATATATATATATATATATATATATATATATATATATATATATATATAACCATATAAAAACAAGATCGTACTTAATATATCATAGTATCCTGTTGGATCTTTTAGAAACACAGATCGGATATTACTGAGGACATCCATAGTTCATAAGTTAACCTGAAAAAAGCTTAACGCCCCAAAACGCCTGCGCCTAGCATCGGCATAACGGCAACAAGGCAAGCCCACATGGTTATCTTATGAATATCACTGGAAACCTCATACCTTCTGGTTAAACCAAACTCTACCTTTGATATCTTAAGTAAAATAAATCTTTACATTTCACAAATGCACATGACAGTAAAGTAACGTTGAGTCAAGCCATGATTTAATACAAGAAACTTAGCCGGCCATTGAGGCGGCGATAATTGAAAAATAAAAATAAAAGACTGAAAATGAAAGCAAGAGTACCTTAAAGAACACCAAGAACTTCAAACCAACTTTTATAATACAAGGGAGAAATTAAAAAAGAGAGAGAGAGTCTAGAAAAGTGATTCTTAAGGAGTAGAAAACTCCAACTATAAATAGAAAAAAGAAAGAGCCGGACATCAGCCCCGGATTTCAAAAAGATAAAAAAACGTGAATAGTAAAAAGTGTGAATAGTGTTTTTACTATTCATAAACAGTGCTTGGTCTGCTGGTGTAAGCAATGGCGAAATTTAATTTGTCTGATACTGTAGATGCATCTTGCTGGAATGCTCTAAGATCAAATCTTCCTTAAATCGCCATTAAAGAAGCTTGTTTCTTCAGAAGTCTTAGAGTCTTCTTAAAATCTTTTAAGGACTGGACAACAAAATTGTTTCTCTGTCTAATCCCTTCTTCAATTAGGAAAAAAATTTCAAGGGCCGCAATCTTCTTTCTAAGAATCTTGAGATAATTTTTATCTGTGATCTCGTTAGATTTTTCATCGAACCTAACATGAAAGGGAACCTCCTAGATGTTCCAATCTGGTGATGAGCTGAAGCGTACGAGATAAATCTCCCAGTCTTCCATTAATCCTTTCCTTTAACTTTCTCTTTAAGAGAGGATTTGAGTAAATCAAAACTTTCTTGTAAAGAAAGATCTTGATAATCTTCGTTAGGATCCTGAGCATCTTGGAGGTCAGTAACAGAACTCATAGAAGCATCTGATTTTGAATCAGAAAAGTCGATATCATCGAATAAGTCCTTCTTAATATGGTCCATATAAAGATCCATAATTTTTTCTCTAGAGAAAATGTCCGAGTACTGCTTGGAGAACTCAGAGAACGAAGGAAGACTATATGAAGTCTTCTTAGTAGAGATCTTCTTGTGATCTTCCATTTTGGATTTAATCCTCTGGATGTTTTCCTGTAAAGGTGACTCATTGGAGCCAGGAGTAATAACATTTAAATTATTCCAAAACCTTGTAGTATGGATTCTCCATAAACACGGCGTACCGTTGGTCGTGAACCCGAAGTGTGGTTTCCATTTCCAAACCCATGGGATTCCGGAATCAACAAAAAACATACAAATAGTTTTACTACCTGTATTGTGAGTTTTAAAAGAAGAAAAACTAATAGAGTATTCTTCTAAGAGAGTTTTAATCTCTTCTGGCAAAATGTCTGCCATAGCACCAAAAATTTCCCACCAAGAGAAAAGCCAGTTTGGAATTTGATTCCTACTGATATTATCGCAAATTTTTATAAGCCATGTGTGAGAATGCTTAGGATTCTGGTATAAAAGGGTTTTATAAAAACTCTGTAAGTAATCCCAATAATTGTATTGGTAGACTGACCTAGTAACTTCGTTGGTAATGGTCTTCTCAGCAAAAGGGGAAGTACCCCATTCTTGGTTGGAGATGATCTTCTTAATAACAAACTTAGAGTAGTTAATAATCTTACTCTTAGGAGGATAGTGTTGAATATCAACACTTCCCAGACTGGTGAGGATATTCTCATAGAATCCTCTCGTCTTGTAAGTTTCGACCTTCCAACAATTTGGCGGAAGATATTTATCCATGAGAATCCATGGGGACTCTTTGAATGTTTCATCGTCATTTTCAATGACTAAGATTAACTCTCTCTTAGGGGAGTCAAAGAATTTGTATTCTTTCTGAGCCACTGAAAAATATGATTCTTCTTCTTCTGATTTTGAGGAATTGTCCTCCATTGGTATATTTTTTCCTCTTTGTCTGAGGAATTCTTGGAACTCCTTTTGGACCTCGTCTCCTTTTGAAAAAGAACTAACACCAGAAATATTCTGGTTGTAAAGGGATTTCTTCCCTTGCTGAACAATAGGGAAACCTCTGCCTCCCCTTCCTCTTTGAGAGGAAAAAGGGTTTCTTCCAGAATAGCTCATATCTGTCATGAAGAAATATATTCACGAGTTAAAAAGTCTGGAAGATGATTATCTTTCCCTTGTTTATAAACAATGTTAAAATCAAAGTAAGCAAGATGAGATTGCCATCGGGCAAACATTTGTTTAGAGACATTATGCTCAAAATCTTTAAAGAGCATGAAAGTGGCTGCTTTACAATCAGTCTTAATGGTAAACTTTTCATTGTATAAATCATCCTGAAATTTAAGGACGCTTTTAACAATAGCAAGAATCTCTTTAGCTGTAGTAGAATAATTTTTTTGAGCACTATTCCATTTACCGGAATAAAATCGAATGATGTATTGAATCTTATTATCAGGGTTGATTTGTTTTAAAATACCCCCATACCCCAAATCTGAGGCATCAGTTTCAACGTATTTTTCCCACAAAGGGTTAGCAAGCATAAGACACGGAATGTTTTTAACTTTCTCCTTAATATTAATAACAGCCTTAGTGTGATTATCACTCCAAGGAGAAGGATTCTTCTTAAGCCTATCATATAAAATAGCAGAATCGTTAGCAAGATTTTTAATATAAGAAGAAACATAATTAAGACTTCCTAAAAATCTTTGTAACTGAGTTTTATCGGTAATAATATCAGGAAATTTACTTCCAAACTCAATACTTCTTTGAATGGGAATGATGTTTCCTTTTTCAATAGTATGACCTAAGAATTTTATCTTAGTCTGAAAAAGAACCATTTTAGGTTTTGAAATAACTAAACCATTTTTTATGATTAAGTTTTTGAACATATCAAGATGCTTAAAATGCATCTCAATGTCTTTAGAGAAAACAAGAATATCATCAATATAAACAATGATAAAATCGCTATACGGATAGAAGATATCATTCATAATTTGTTGAAACTCAGAAGGAGCATTCTTAAGGCCAAAAGGCATGACATTCCATTCGTAATGACCGAAAGGGACATTGAAGGCAGTTTTATACCTGTCAGTCTGATCAATCTGTATTTGCCAGAATCCTGATTTTAAATCAAATTTTGAAAATATAAGAGCATTGACTAGTCTGTCAAGAAGATCCTTTTTATTAGGGATAGGGTGTCTAATCCATTTAAGAATTTTATTAAGAGGTTTGTAGTTAATAACCAATCTTGGAACTCCTCGTTCTTGCTCCGAATGTTTATTAACATAGAAGGCAGTACAAGACCAGGGGGACTTGGAAGGGGAAATAAGTTTCTTTTGTAATAAGGACAAAATCTTATTTTTACATAACTCTAAATATTCTGAGTTCATCTGGCAAGGCCTAGACTTAGTAGGAATTTGACTATCTTCAAATCCTTCTTCATAGGGAAGAGAAACAGTATGTTTTTTTCTATCCCAAAAAGCATTAGGGAATTCATTGCAAATGTCAATAGAGAATTTATTATATAAAAGCTTAATTTTATCTTGAAGTTTTAAATTCTTCAATCTATCTTCAACAGTTAATGAGTTAAATTCTTCTTTGAGAAAATTGACCTGACAATTTTTTAAATCAATTTGATCTTGGATAGAGTTAAGAACCTTATGAATAGGTTTGGTGATAAACTTAAAAGAAATAGGCTTACCATTATAAGTACCTGTAATTCCTCTTTCATCAATAAATGTAAGAGGATAAATCTTATAAAGAAATGGAAGGCCAATAATCATTTGACTAGTAATATCCTCAGCAATAAGAAAGTCATTAGCAATACAACAACCTTCGATACAAACATAAGCATTTTTAAGCTTATAGTTAATTTTTAATGATCCGCCTCCTGCGTGAGAAAGAGAATGTGTAGTTTTTTCAAAAAACTTGGTGGGAATTTTTCCCATTTGAATAACACTTAGGTCAGCACCATTATCAATCATAGCAATGAAGTCTTCCTTGTAAGAATTATTAATAAGGAGAGAAATCTTTGTATACCATTTTTGAGAAATAATAATATTAATGGTAGATAAATGATTTTTATTTAAATTGTCAAACTCATCGGAGTTAATAAACTGAGACTGAGCTGTAAAAGTTTCCTTCTCTTTGCCTTTTTCAATAATAGAAAGACGCGACGAAAATTCAGAATTATTCTTTTGAAGAATCTTAATATCATTTTTAAGATTATAAATCTCTTGACTTAAATCATTGATAGTGATAGGACTATTCTTGATATTCCTAAGCTTAAGAATGTTATCTAATTCTCC